AATAGAGGTCCCAAACAATTGGAGTGACCAGCCTCCAGCCATACTGACTGTGGTATCAGTGGGAGCCACTCCCAGGACGGGTCTTCAGTGAGGAGACAAGCTGGAAGCAAGCGAGGAGGTATTGTTTTCCTCAGGGCATTGCTGCTTCCCCTAACTAGTGAGATCATACATGAAACGCTGAGAAAATGGGGAGAAGCAGCAAATCATTGCTGATGACAGAGTGCAGTTACTGAAAGTTCAGTCAGCTTTTTCTGGGCTGCTTTCACACGAGGTTTTGTGTGAAGTGCGCTATAACGCGAACGTATGATCTTGATGCACATCATTATTCTCTCTACCTCTGTGCATTCCTCTGTCCTCTATGAATCTTCTCTTTATGCTAGGTCTACCCTCAAAGTTACTCTTTGTGATGTCAGCAGTCACCTAACTCAGCACTTATTGTGTGCCTACACCCCAGTGGAGAACAGAGGGCTGTAGAGTTTCAGCATTACACTTTCCCCAGACCAGATGTCCCATACAGCCATGCAGAGCTGCTCCACTGCTGGTGCAGGCAGGACAGGACAAACACTCTTCCCATACAGCCAGGGAGCAAGCACAAGGTTATATTTTACACCGCCTCAGTGGGCATGTTTAGGGGATCTTTGTTATAGGCGTTTCAAACCAGACGGCTGTTGTTTTGTGAGGTCAGACTTAAATTAAGGAAGGATGTGAGCCAATAAACGTATGTGAAATCACCAGGCTGAACAGCTGACAGATCAAGACACAGGGAGTCATTTTTGTCACATGTATCCTTCCCCTCTGGACTGTCCTTATTAACTGATCAGCTTATGTTTTACAGGACCATGAGGGATCAGACAAGGGAAGTAAAATGTGCCTGCATGATGCCTTAGAGTGGCTATCACTACGATGACCTGGTGGATGCAAAACATGACCATAGTTCTGTCTTTGTCTCCACCACATGGTCCCAAGTAAAATTACAAGAGCTATGGACTTGTATTGTACTAAATGAGCAGAAGAAACTTTGAATACACTGTTGCTTTTACTGATTATTTTATGTTTGGAAGAAGATGACAAAAGCCCCAGTATTTCAACTCATTCTAATGCATTGCTAATGATTATTAATATTTCCGAATATGATGGCAGCCAGCCACAGTCAGAGCAAGAAAATAAGCTAAGGGGCATTTTTCTCTATCTAATAAAATTGGCACCTGCAACAGTATCACCATCTTTCATGGTTAGAAAAATCAGATGTCAGGCGCATCTCTCGCAGGGGGGCCCCATCCCCACCTCAACCTGCTGACGGAGCATGTTCTGATCTTCACTAAGTGATTTGGTGTTCATCTCAGGCCCACAGCAGTGCAATCCTCATATGGATTCAAAGCATTTCTCTGTCTACTTAATCACAATACAAATTGTCCCGCTTCTGCTTTGAATGAGAGATTTTTTTTCTGTTTAGTTTTGTTTTGGGTTTTTTTCTTTTGCTGTTGTTGTTTTCAGTAAGTGAAGTCCCACTGGTGCAAACTGTGAGGCTCACTGCACTTGATCAAGTGGGCCAGTCTGTCTCTGTGGGGGTTACCCATCAAAGTGGAAAGCAATGGTTACTCAATGCGTCTCGCCGACAGTGATTGATGATGGTGCTGTTTCATAACGAATTGCGCCCCCCACAAGAAGTCTCACACAAGTGGGAAATGTTAATTGAAACACTGTGTGTGCAAAGAGCTGTAGTTCTACAAAAGGTGTTACAGCAATAAACTGGAGGGAATGCCGGTAAAACATAGCAAATTTTACAAGCGGATGGCAAACTGCACCAAACTCCAGACTAACAATACTCACCATATCATGTTCCTTATGGTAGCAAGATAGATGTTTTGGCTTCTGGGGGGGGGGGGAGTTATCACCAACAAATTCTCCCCTTGCCAATACAATCATGATTTGGTGTTTATTTCAAATATCATTAGAGAAAAATCACTGGCCAACAGTCAACATTGATCATATCCTTTAATTGGGTAGTTCTCCGTGAATGTATTCCTGCAAAGAACCATGTAATCATATAAGAGACACTCAAACCTGTCTGGATCAACTGTAACATAGTGCAGGTTGTTCTGCAGTTCAGTGGAATTGCAGACAGGTCGTCCATCTAATGTGCGAAGCCTGGAAAGCCAAATATAGAAATACCACAAACTGCAGTGTTATACACAGATTATTCTGACTATGTCATTTTGACAACATGAGTAGAACATCCTTCTTCTTTACATTTGACACAAACACATTTAGCTTGAATAAAGTCTCAGGTTATCCATTAATCATGTATTCTTTATAAAACAGAGGCTGATGCTCTCAGAAACCAAATTTCTTCACAAAGATGTGATGTACCCAAAGCATGTTGATTAATTGTTTATTTTAAAAATAAGCTACGAGCACAACATTTGAATTTGTACACATCAGCACATCACCCACTTAAAATGAATTGTAATATTAACTTATTTCTAATTATACCTGATAGCAGAATCTGGGAGAAGACTTACTCTCTTCATTTAAGAGTATGCTTTGGCATCTGTGTTTGAGCTGTAGGAACCAGAAGGTCTCCATTGATAGAGGCACTGTGAAACAATATATGAGACACAGGCCAACTGAAAACATGATTAATTTTATATTGTGGAAAATCTGTATCCAGCTTCAGATCAATACTGACTTTAATGTGCAGGTCTCGTCAGCAGTTCTCCAGGGGGCAGAGCCAACTATTCTGCTGTAAGCAACAGGTCTGATCTAAAATTTTAAGATGAAAGGAAATAATTTTTAGAGATGCTAAATATAATCGAAGGATTATCTACAGTTATCTACATTGTTTGTTAAAGTCTCAAAACCTGTTCTTCTATGTTTTTGTGTCATATTCTGCAGCTTCTTGGTGGTTGTCCCAAAATAGCTGAAAGACATTAAAGAAAGATGCCTGACTCCAGGCCTTTTCACATTGAATTGCAACAAGTATTCACTTAACAAATCAAGTATTCATCACATTTCCTTGCAAGCATCCCTTAAACCTCAGGATTTTACCGCTTCAGCTATGACCTCCTTCCGATCCATACGACCAGACCAGATATGACAACATGACACACAAACATTGAGAACTTGCAGCTGTTTGAAGGGCTCATTTCCATATTTGGCCCGTGCTCCAAATCCTCACCGTGCCAAACGGAGGATCAGTCCCATTGAAAGGGTTGACAAAAATTATCAAAGATTGACACCTGCCGCAGATTTAAGACAATTTTCCTCCCAGGAAAGAAATTCCTTTTTTTTTTGGGAGGTGCATTCATTTTCCCTGATGTGGCAGGCATAGTGGAGCAAACTAAGGTATTAAGGAGAAAGAAGGAAACATATGCAGGGCAGCTGTGTTGCAATTCCAGTTATCAATTAATTTACATGAGAAATGCTGCTTAAAACTAGTAGCACTAGTAGACAAATATTAGCAGGGAAGGTGGACTATAGTTGCACTTTCTCATAACATTTAGATTGATAATCCTTCTCTCCCACCACCCACAATTACTACTACTCCAATGTCTTTGGAGCATCATATATAAACACCTTTCCATTTATAAACATATATATGTATATACGTTTAGATTATTTTTTTTAATTATTCATTCATTACACAGTCGCCACATCTCCTATTCTAGGGCTCCTTTTAATACCACAGCTTGTTTGCTCTGTCACTATAAGAGCTGTCCACACTGTTTACCTCAAAAGTAACCAGAGAGAGAGCGCCAACAATGACTTCTAATTGGTTTATGCCAGATAACTCTTGGTCAATTAAATGCATAATTCATCTCACCATTAATTATTCATTTCCAAAGGGACTGGAGCTGTGCTTTATTTTTGAAGAAATGCACTATGCATATTCAAATTCCTGTTCTTCGTGCCATGCAATATAAGATTTCATCTCAGCTGGGATTCCCATCCTAGAAACAATGGCTGCCATAACTGTGAGACATCTCTGATTAATCACACAGTTAAAATGTGTGGACTTCAAAGATATGAATGTTTGAACTGATCTACAGTATGTAATGTCTTGTTTTTGTCATTCAGCAAACTGGTTGTAATGGGTTATGTCAAACAGTGCGTTGCTGAGAAATAGGTTTGTTTTTGTTTTTTAAAGGACAGCAAAAGCTGTCAGTGTAAATTTAACATAGTATAAAACCACAGCTCTGAGCCATTGTGTGCATTCTATAGCATTAGATGTAATTTGCCTCTTGTATTTTTTTCTTTTCTGTGAGCCCTGTATATTGGGTCTGGGATCCAGCTCTGCACTGGGAGTCTTTGTACGGGATGTTACTTCATTGTGCTGTAACGTAAACTGGTATGTCAAGGACTGCTGTTTCTTCTCAAGTGGAAAATCAACCTCCTTCCACACTCTTAAAGGTCAGTACCACCCATTTTTAAAACTCACATTTATTACCGTGTGCAGCCATTCCCCATTTCTTTAGCCAGTGCTCATGTATAAAGTTACACTAAAATGGAGAATCAATGCTGTAAGGTGTAAGGTGACTGAATAGTAACTATGCTCTAGATAATGCATTAGGGACAGACTTTGGTTCCCATGTGTAAAGTTAGTTTGGCTTATTATTTCCATAAATTATTTAACTGAACAGAAGTTGTCAATCTGTCAGTAGTAGGTTTGGATTAGGCGATACCATCACGTTTTTAGAGTACTGACATTTCCTTGGAGTTTTATACTCAGCAAATTAGATATTTTACATTTATTCAGTGCAGCTTTAAAAAGTGATCATTTTTACACCAACTGTCAATGAGGCAGCCACTGACTTTTTTCTGAGTGAATCCTTACAGTAGAGTTCGAATTACCCAGATGATACACATAACTCCTCTCCAAGTGAATGTGAGAGTAAATTGTTACTAGGTGTTATTTTTTCGTTTTCCATTGTCAGACTTTACTCAGCTGCTGCCGTAAAAAAGAGGAATAAACTAAAATGAATAATCCATTTTTGATTTTCTGTCTATCCACTTTTATTGTATGATAACTGCCACATAACTTATTATGCAATGCCATTATGAAGTGTCAAGGAACTGTGGAATGTGAGCATGACAAAAATAATTGTGACGAGTACAACACATTACAAAACATTTTGTAAGCTCAGACAATAGATAGCCTGTAAGGCCCATAAGATGAAGAAAATGTCATGTTGTATTTACAGGTGGAAGCTACAAACAGTAGAACAGTTCTTGACTGAACTCAGATAGCTTCTTTGTCAAATTCACAAATGAAGTACATTGTGAGCTGGCATGATACGTCAGTCCACTCTCCGGAGGCCACCATCTCAGCACAGTCCTCATTGTCATAGGCATTATTGGGCTCTCCTTTCCTCCATTTGCTAAAGGTGGTCATGGGAGAACGGTCCACATAAATAAAAACGCCCTCATGATCAAGATCATGAATGCCAATGTAGACCCTGCTCAGGGCCGCTTCGGTTATGTATCCTGCCATGGCTGTGTTGGCCCCCTCATCCTTCGGCATGGCCAGATGCCCTCCCTTCGTCTGACAGTAGACCTCAGCATCTGCGAATCGCTTCTCCTCCTTCACCAACAGATAGACCTTGCTATCTGTTTCCTTTATGCCAGCAACAGCTGCAGGGGAGGGCAGTGCTGAAAAATGAGCACCTGTATTTCTATAAATTTTACATTGACATGCCCATTGTTTACAGCACTATGGGTAGAAGTAGCAGAAATGGCAGCATTACAAAGGATGGAAGGAATAAATTTGAAAAGGTTTCTGCAGAAAAATACTGCATTTTTAAAACAAATATTCTAATGGATAAAGAATGAAAAAGTTGTACCATTTTTAATGAATTTCAGCTCTGAGGATAGCTGGGCCACAACAATGTCCATCTCTCCGATCATCTTTCTCATTGGTGTGCATTCACAGGGAACACCTGATTTGGCAGAAATGTGGAGGAATTAACACAAAGCCCATTCAATTACATTTCTCCCCCAAATGTCAAATCCTGTAATAATTCCCTTTTTAAACCATAAAGTGAGCAAATATCTCACCGGGATCTCCATTAGGGCCTCTTGGACCAGGCTCACCCATGTCTCCCTTAGCACCTGAGAGAAAAAAGTCATTATTCAGCAGTTTTGAATTGTACCAGATGTTGGCAGTAAGTAAATCACCCTCAATTGTACCACCTTTCATTCCTTTTGGCCCAAATTTTCCATAGCGCCCCATTATGCCTTTCTGTCCTTTGAGTCCAGGTTCCCCTGAAAAAGGTGCATATTTGAAGTACATTTAAGTATTTTCCATTATTGTCTCTCAAAACATCCCGTTCCTTATTGGAACTCTAAAATCTAAACAAATTGTCATTTACTTCATGGGAAATATATTATAATGAAAAAGATGAGCACACTAAGAGCACACCCTTCACTCCTCATTACGGCCTTTAGTAAACACTTTAGTCCACCGCACCAGATTCCACAATCATTATCAATTCTCCTCTAACCTCTCACCCAAATGTAAACACTTGGACATTTCTGGTTGGTCTAGTGGTGTAACAGCACATTATCGGCCCAAGAAATGTGATCTTTGCCCCAGTTCTTGTTGCATGAGCCTAGTTGCAGTGTTGAGAACATATAGCACACACAAGTCTTATGGGGTTATTTGTTTTTATGCAAACACTATACCAATTAATATTTTTCTTTTAATAGGCATATAAGGATATTAAGATTGTTCTCATAAAACAAAACAAAAACACTAAGCAATCTATGTCAGTATCGGTTGTGCCAGAAGTATACCAATCTCTCCTAGTGGGCCAAGTCTTCCCGGTCTGCCTGGGGCTCCTTTTTGTCCTTTATCTCCTGGTTCTCCTTTAGTAGAAAAAAAATCAGACAAATTCTAATTTTGTTTTTCCTTACGCTCTTATATCTTTAGTTTGCAATGTGTATAAAATAAAACTTTGCCTTTGAGTCCAGGGACCAGGATCTGAACAGTGCATGAATCTTCTGTCATGTGTTGCCCATATGAAAATGGTGTTAATAAACTCATCATCACAGACATTAGAGTCATAGGGAGCAAAAGGGTCTTTCCTCTCATTCTTCTACATAGACTGGGTAGGTGGCTACACTGGAGAAACAGAACACAATAATGAAATGCTTATGAGTGAATAAATAAATGAATATTCCTAAATAAGTTCAGGTAATTTGGATAAAAAGAATTTATTTCAGAGCATAAATAATGTGACCTCAAGGGGTTCAATTTGCATAACTTATCCTGCTTTTTAGATGCCAGACACAAATGTTTGAAAGCCATATTTACATTTAGTATAAACCAATGAAAAGCTTTGGTTTTTGGTTGTTAACAGGACAATACACGAATGAAAAACAGCACATATTCATTGGCTAAGAAATTAATGTAATTTCAAAGACCTGAATGCTTACCTTGAAGGAGAAAGAAAATATTTCCAACTTGTTCCGATTTGCAGGAGCTTTGAATGCTGGAGGTCCTACAGACACATTTCATGTTCCCCCTCTGGCACCACAGAATGTGTGTGTGATGGAGCTTTTATAAACAGTCTACTGATAAAGGCAAAAGCAGTTGAAGCCCAACAGATAATTGGCTGGGAAAGTGCTCGGGTGATTGATAGTGAAGGGGCCTGATACATACGCTGACTCAATGTTAAGAGATAATTAATATAAAAACAGCTCCATTTGAACAATCTAGTAGATTTTCATTTATGTGTGAATACATTGTAAGACATGTGAGCATTTACCGTGACATTTCCCAGAAACGTGGCTTTTTCAAAACTAGTTGTCAGTGTATCATGTCTTTAAAATTCTATCATCACAAGTGATATGGTTTATTTGCTAAATGCTGAATTAATTTACTGCCATTTCACTGTAGTTTATCTATAGCTTGTCTCAACATGGGAATTAAACTACAAATGGATTTATCAATTTGACACAGCCATGTTTGTCCCCTATGTAAACACTGGAGGGAGACATTGTCCATGTGAAGAGAAGGCAATTGAACTGAAGCACAGGGCTGGGTCTTCTATTCTCCTGAGTTTACATCGGTCAAATAACTAATCAAAATCTTGTTATGACGGTATGTTGTTTTAAATAAACTTCTCTTATGTTTTTAATTGCACCTTTCTGTTTAAGAGTGTGATTTTCATACCTCATGCACTCTTAAATTGTAGCATGTTATTAAAAAAAATCTAATTTTAGTTTTTACATGTTGTCATCTTGAGTAAGTAATCAGATATTATCTAATACAGAAGTGTCCAATGTCCTAATTAAATTTATAAAACCTGTGACAGCCAATGTTTCAACTGTGGATTGGGTGTCTCCTTCAAAATCCCCCCCATACGTTTTAGGTTACCTGCCTCTCAAATATTCATGACTCTCAAGTTAAGGGAGCATTAGCAGTCTGCTCAAAGCATGGAGTGGAATGGTCAGGTGTTAACTATTCTAGAGCAGGTTTAGAAATGAAACAAAGAAAAAAACATATCAAACAGTAACAAAAAGTAGGCGGTCTATGAATCAAAGTTTAAATAAATATCACATAATATAGCTCAATCGATCCAAATCAAACACATCTTGATTTACTGATTACACAACATAACTCCAGATTCCAGAACAGGTGTCAATGTTCTCAGTGTACGGCATCCGATTAGAAAAAAAAAATATATATAAATATGTATGTGCATAATTTTATATTTTGAGGACTTTGACAGTCACCTTTCCTTCAATGCCACACTTTTTACCGATCGAGAGTTAAATTTTTTGAAACGTTTGCTTTTTAGAATACAAAACAAAAAGGAAACAAGGATCACTCAACGTGGGATCTTACGAGCGTCACCTCAACGCATCTCTCCAGTGACGTCACCGGCGCTTACCGGTGATCCTGCCCAGCCTCCTGCAGCCGTTCATCCTACCTACCGGCGGCCGCAGGGAGCACCGACAGCCCTGGAGCAGTGCCACACACACACACCCGTATGACGGACACAAAGTCCTTCCTGACCCCCTGCTCGTGAACTTGACTATTCGAGGCATTCAAGTCGTAAGTACATCTGTTTTGTCGAAGTTTTATACTCTCCGAATGTTCGAGGTTTTTACTTTTTATTTATCACCAGCGATTAGTAATTGGCATTCCACCAAATGCTCTGCGTACTGATGAACTGCTCATACCTGTATTGGAGCAATGCATGCTGTCTTTAAAGGAGTTACTTATTTATCAGAGGTTAAAACTCCTCTAGACAGGATAGTGTGGAGTTTTCATCCAATACATTGTGTGGTATTTCCACAATGCATTTAAATTGTCTTTAAAATACCAACAACGTCACATGGGCTTTTGTTTTTATTTATTTTTTAACTTTGTTTCCATTTGTATCAGCCTGCTTCCTTATTTGTGAATGTTAGTTTGTCTTTAACAAACTATCTCTTCCCAGCCATTTCCCTTATCTTTTTTCCCCCACTTTTTAGGAGTTACCCTTTGTAAGTATAGGCTGTCTATGCATCTCTCCTGCTTTTCCCACACAGTTAGTGTCCAGTGTATTTTCCATGTTCCTTTTGCCTGGCTGAACAGGAAATGAATGGCAGGAAACAAGAGGCGTGTTTTTGCATGTCCTGCTTTAACTCCTTGCCAGTGTTCACACATTTGTATTTTTGTGTTTATGTTTTCTGCTCTGTTGACTGCAGGCCTTTCTCTGCCTTTAACCCGAGAAGGAACCCCCTTATGATTTGCATTGTCTTTTGCTTGTTGGGTTTGGGCCTTACTTTAAGTGTCTCACATCTCTGTCTGGATTAGGGTTAAATACTAAGAGGATTTAAAGCTGCGGAGTCAAAGTTTCTCCCGAAGGACTAGTTTCTATTTTGCTCTACGTTTTACATAATAGGACATCATCTTTAGTGATATGCCAGACAGTGAGGAGGATTACCTTGTGGGAATTGAAAAAAATAAATATATATATATATATATATATATATATATATATAGCCCTCAGTACAAGTGGCTTTATGGTAGACTACCAACAGCTGAATTGTGGTGTTCCTGGTTGTCGTGCATTACTTTTCATTCATGGTCATTTGTATGGGGTAATCCTTTAGCAGCCATGTATTTTTCAACTGAGCATGTTTCCTGTGTGGACAGCTGTAATTCAACTTGGGGTGTGGGGGATGTAGGTATAGCTATGTGGCACTCAGACATCTAAGAAAACCAGTCCCCCAAACATTTCCCACGCAGCCTTGAACTGACACTTGATGAGAGACTAAGAAAGTAAGCTTAGCTTCTTTGCTTGTCCTGAGAGGAAATATTGCTTTGTTTGATGAGTTCCTAGCAATATATATAACATATAAATATAGGCCTTATGATAATATAAGCATCTTATGATAATAATAATACATACATTTTTATTCGAAAGTATTCCCCAAGTCAGATTTCAACAGCCAAGGTTATAGAAGTTACTAGTATTTTGCCGTTTTCAAATTTGCTGAGGAACAGGCTGCATTTGTGAGCAGCACTGCATCATTCAAATTATTTTTTTCTGAGTTATGGTCTTGCATGCTGTCTAGGGTTTGATAAGGGAAATCTTTTATTTGTCTTGGCTTACCTTGTGAGCAATTTCTTTTGTAAGTAAAATAGCCAGTAAATAGATGGGTCATAAGACAATAATTTGATATAAGAAAATGTAATTCTCCTGTGTCTTATATTTAGTCTCTGACTCTATAGTGCAGAGTTGTAATAAATCATATCAAAAGCAGAAATTATTCATTTTTATCCACCAAAAATGTTGATGAGGGGCATTTTCAACAAATGCAGAAGTCCCAGTGACAAAAAGAAAAAAACAGCAAGAAACTGGACAGAATTTAAAAAGTGGACAGACATTTCAACTCAAATACTATCATCAGCTGGTACCTACATACCCTCTCAGTTCCCAAACCACCCTGACACTGAAAATTATGACTAAACAAAAATAACATAGGCATAGGGCAAAGTGGCTGATGGACAAGACCACACACAAAAAAAACAGTGAAACAAAGAATAAGCATTGCGTCAGTAGTTTTGCTTACTGACTTTGTGCTCTGTGGTTTGTGAATTAATGGGGGTTAACAACACATATGTAGCATGTTTGATTGTAGACACACTAAGAATGTCAGAAGTTTATCTGTCATCATTACTGATTTTTTTCCTTAAGTAGACAATGTCCACTTGTATTGTTTTTAGCTTGGACGTCCAGACAATTGCAGGTCACTTGGGGTTGTGTCTGCATTACTAGGAAGTTTCAGTGCCTCAAGATACAACTGAATCCTCATCGTAGTGAGTGATCCTCTTTAGCAAGATCAGTTGAAGGAATAATGAGTTAATGAAAAGCAAAGCAGACAACAGCAGCTGGTCTGGTCCCAGCCACCGCATGTAAATGAATGGGGAATGTTACCTTGGATTAATTTGTTCATTAATTCCTTCTAATCCATTTGAGATTTAACTAATTCACTTTAGCTTCTTTTTGTCATGTTGTTTTCTGCTAAATTTTGCTGTTTTACTTAACAGGAACCTTTCTAAGTTTTTACATTGAAACATGCTGTGATATTTGGAGGCACACAGAAAGTTAATGCCAGACAAATGAGGATTAGGTACAAGTCTTGCAATTGCAATTGTATAACTAACTTTCATTAGATGTGTAGCAGTCTGTCACTACATTTTAGACTAGAAAAATAGACAATGAAGAAACTGAAAAGCCAAGTTTGTTTGAGGAACATGTTTCAAAATGCAAATCTATGTATTGTATTTTGCATGTCTACCTCAGCCACTCCTCTTCTTCTTTAATGTTTCCAACTTCATTTTTTCCTGCAACTACCTGGCAGTTTGCTGGCTGTGCTGACCAGAGGTAAGCCATGGAGGATGGGAAGCCAGTGTGGGCGCCCCACCCCACCGACGGGTTCCATCTGGGCACAATCGTTGACATAGGAGCTGACACGCTCACGATAGAACCACTGAACCAGAGGGGCAAGGTGGGTCACGCACGCAAGCACCGACATTCACAAAAACCATGACTCAGTTTCCGAGTTGTGGCACATTTTTACAGTTTTGTGCCTTAATCTCAGAAAGCTTAAAAGGAAAATGACAATGGTGTGTGTAGTTAAAGAGGAGTCATATTTTCTACTGATTGGTCTCAAGTGTGATTTCAGGTGGGAAGGCGTTAGCTCAACAACGCTTGAAATGTGAGAAACATGAGAGACCACATGTACGGAGGCGTAAATAAGTAAAGAGAAGCAGCAGGTGTGCTGATATGGTTGCCTAGAGAGAAGCAGCTCATTAGGAAGTAAAGGGCAACTGTTCCACCTGAGAAGTCACGTGTCCGCAGCAAGCAGGCCTCTGATGTTTACAACCGGCATGGAGCGTAGGCTTTTGTTTTAGCTGAACTAATAATAGCACAGTAACTGCACAGCCCAGTCTCACACCAGCTATGCTGTAGCGGGCACAATGGCTAGGAATAATGCCTACTACGGCTCAGTGCCATTTTGGTGTGCCAACGAGGCAACGACTGAACCAGCGTGGATGATGAGGATGTTTTTGGAGGACTTTTTGACTGCAAGGCAGAGGAAGCACAGGAGATCCTAACTGGATTAATGATGGTGTTGTTTACTGTGTGTCTATGACCCCTGAAGTGTTGACTGGAGTTCACCCACCATTAGTTATATTAGTCTCATAAAATAATGTAAATGTACTTTACTTATAGGCTAATTGGACTCTCCAAATTGCCCCTAGGAGTGACTGTGGGTGTGTGTGGTTGTTTGTCTTTGTGGGGTCCTTCAACCTTTCCATGGTGTAGGCTTGAGCCCCCCGTGAACTTGTTAGGACTAAAAAAAATGGATGGATAGATAATGTACTTGTATAGTTCTTTTCTAGATAAACTAACCACTCAAATAATTTTTACAATACATTTCATATTCTCCCCTACACTCAGCTGTACATCTTAGTCAAGGATGGGTGGGTTTGCCAAGTTCTTTCTCCAGCCAGGAGTTGAACTATCAACCATCTCATTGGAGGGTCACCACTCTTTGTCATTGTTTACTAAAATGACAAAAGTGCTTTCCTAATAATGTGTAATCTAAAGTCACTTCTGTCTTCTGAAAGGATATTGATCATTTCTGCAATCCTTCCTTTTAGTAAAAATAATTAGATTAATTGTATTAATAGTATTTTGCATTTCCAAACAAAAGAAAAAGGAAAAAAAAAACATGATTCATTAGTCTGGGTTACCAATGCAACATAAAATTATGCAGCAAAACAAAGATTTTATCTATTTTTATGGACCTTCTCTCCTTCCCAGTTTATTACCTACTGCATTCATGTAGGACTACATTGAGACATTTGAGGGGCCTGACAGTAAAGAGATGAGAGGGTAGAGCTTGATCATCACCTGATTAGGCTGATGTGAATGTTTGTGTTCTCACATTTAGTTAAAGGGTTTCATATTTTCAGTGGATGTATAGCTTAAAGGACTTATGATTCCTCAGCTGGAATTGGGATTTATAGTAAGATAGCACATGTGAAACATTTTTGCTTTAGTTACTGTTATCTCTGAATGATCAACATCATTTCATTAAGAGATTAATTCTGTCCCAATTACTGGACTAATGACAAGCCCATTGAAATTTTCTTTTACTTTGGCAAACTCGAGCTCATTAGTGCCTCAGCTCTGGGCGCCACCCCAGGCTCTTCCTCGTTTTTCTTTTTTTCTATTTTTCACATGATGGCTACTGTTTATGGCCTTGATTTGGTTTGTGCCAAGTTCAGAGCAGACAAAGCTCATTCTGTTTATGCTTACCGGCTGTGTGTGGTAATAAACCATGCATCATTACCCAGATAGGATCATGCTCACACCTACAACCATTGGTACTGATATACCGAACGGAATGTGTATTATGCATTAAATACAAATGCATTAAAACAATTTATGTCATTGATGTATAATTTGGAAAAGCCATCTATCGTTGCCCTGTTTAAAAAACATCCTGAGGCTAAAGATTGCATTTAACGATTTAATGGGTTCCAGTAAGACCAGCATTATCTGCTCCTGAGCATATACACACATGACTCTCTAACTCAGTCGGGTGTTCAGATCTTGTTGCTCTCCCACCAAATTATTCATAGTGCTGCCATGTCTCTCCTTGTTTCTCTCACAGCTGACTTGTTCCATTGAATTTATTTCCATTAACTCAGACTTTTAAACAATAGAGTGAAAACATCAGTAACTAATTTAGCCAGTGAACCTGTCTCTGAAAACATCATTATCTTTTAGCATGATAAATCATTCATGTTAATGCCTGTTCGCTTATCTGTTTATGATCTGTAATACCTATGTTTAATAACTCTCTTTTTTAAATGACAAGCCTTCTTAATCACCAAAACTAAAACAAGAATTCTGTTAATATTGATGGCGATGGTCCATAAATGTCCATCCTTAGAACAGCATCATAGAAATGTTGCATTAATTAAGATTGTATATGTTACAGACTTTTCTTGCGCCGATGAATCAAGTCTTCCCTGCAGAGGATGATGTCAACAAACATGTTGATGATAACTGTAAGTTTTTCCTGAATTAAAATGAGTTGAAATGATGCATAAACACATGTAAACAAATGTATTCATATGTTTAATTAATTAATTAATCTGATCATATATGTGTTATTTGTGGTCTCTGTCACCGTAGGTTCACTTATGTACTTAAATGAAGCAACTCTTCTCAACAATGTCAGAGTGCGGTACAGTAAAGACCACATCTATGTATGTATAGCTGACTCTCTTTAATTATCTGCCTTCGTCCGAATTCTTATTCCATACAGTATTGCTGCAGTTGTTAGTTAAAGACATTACTATTCAATTAGGTCATGCAGCATGCTGAAGAGTATAAAGGAAATGTCTTTATCCTTCAATTCCCCAGAGCAAAAGTGCCAGGTGGCAAAGAGGGAAAGGCAGCTAGACACAGGTCAGACTGGCAAACCCAGTCTTGACCTCACTTAGGAAATGAGGGACAGCTGGTAGATGAGAAATGTAAGACAGGAAAACAAGTCACAGTGTCTTTCGCCAGTCCAGAGTCAGTTCTTTTTCACCTCTTTTGTTAGTCCTTGTTCAATAATTTACCTCATGTAAATGCGGTGAACCTAATCATGCTGTTGTTTGCATAACTTGCAGACCTATGTGGCCAACATCCTCATTGCGGTTAATCCTTACTATGACGTACCAAAACTGTACGGCCCTGATGCCATCAAGTCGTATCAAGGGAAGTCACTGGGTACTCTGCCACCCCATGTGTACGCTATAGGTGAGAGCTCACTCCTGTCTTAAAACCAGACTATCTTTGATAACAGTTTCTCACACAAGGATCCAAACTTCGTGTAACCCCTGAAGTATTGAACTGGACATCACATAAAGTTCCATTCTCATCCCCTTATTGTCACTTTTATGATATTTACAGTACAGTTACCACAGTTCTGCCTAATTTGTCCCATCATTATGTCTCGATTATGCCAGGGTAAAATCAATAATTCCTTTTCATTCATTCCCTCATTTACTAGCGGACAAAGCCTACAGAGACATGAAGGTTTTAAAGATGAGCCAATCCATCATAGTTTCTGGTGAATCTGGTGCCGGAAAAACTGAAAACACCAAGTTTGTTCTCAGGTAAGAGAACAAATAGCAATTTCATTTTTTTTCTTGCTCAACAAAGTTTGACAATCCATCACAGCACTTTTACTAAATAGTTTACCACACCAAACAGCCCCCTAAACAGCAATTCCAACTGAGCACTTTTTATTGTTGTTTTTTATTCCATCTTGCAGATATCTGACAACAACATATGGAACTGGTCAAGATATTGATGAGAGAATTGTTGAAGGTAATGCATGCTCACAGAAATGTATCAGCCACATATGCTCTGTTTTGGAATCTGTTTATTTTGTGTGAACCATTTTCACTTTAAACCTCAGCAAATCCTCTTCTCGAGGCCTTTGGAAATGCAAAAACCGTCCGGAATAATAACAGCAGTCGCTTTGGAAAGTTTGTCGAAATCCACTTTAACAACAAAGTAAGCTGTGATGACTATTTGTGATTCTTATGCATTACATTCATCAATCTGCATGTGAGATGTGATTCATCTCTTTCTTTACCAGAATGCAGTTGTGGGTGGATTTGTGTCCCACTACTTGTTGGAGAAGTCAAGGATTTGCATGCAAAGCAACGACGAGAGGAACTACCACATTTTTTACAGGCTGTGTGCAGGGGCATCTGAAGACCTTAAGAAAAAATTACACCTGGACTCTCCTGACAGTTTCAGGGTCTGTTGATCAGTATTTCAAAAGAGAAAAAGAAATCTCAATACTGAGTACTGTTATAAGCTGAAATAATATTCAATTTAATTCTGTTAGTCCCACCTGAAATAAAACTGAACAGTAAACCTCAGTCTGATGTTTGTTTTTTTTAAATGAAAGGGGGATTTTTATGTAATAAAATGATAAATTATTAGTTGAAGCCCCTTTTTACTTTTGTTTTTATAGTGGACTTTTTACACAATTCAAAAACTTCCCCCATTTGAAATCAAGTTCCCTCAGCAGCAAAGCATGTTGCTACAGTGTTCGTTTTTGTTTTAATACACTATTAGCTGTGCAGGGCAAAAGTAAAGGACCATTAAATGTATGTAGTTTAGGCTTGTTGTTTTTTTTTTTATATTTAGAAGTTCATAAACACAGAAACATGCAACCAGATCAACAATTACATTATGCAATTTACTTCGAGTCAAATAAGATCTGAGAAACAGCCCTTAAAGATTTTACACCAAGATTAAATTCTATTTTACACACTACTGATATGTAAAGATTTTTTTCTAAGGTAATTCTTTATTTTCTTGCAGTACCTGAACCGAGGATGTACCAGATACTTTGCTGGTAAAGACTCGGATAAACAAATAATGCAAAGCCGCAAGAGTCCTGAGGTAATATTCTATTCTGTCTTGTCTTAATCTCCATAATCCAATGTTTTGTTTGGATGTTTTGTTTTGTTTTTATGACGTAAATCATTGAAAATGGTATTCTTTAAGAAGAACATACAGCCACAGTGATTTACATGCAGGAATTTGCCAGTTGGCTTAGTGAGCACAAGGTTTCAGCTCTGCATTTGAGTTATGGAAAATCTAGAAAATGTCATGCAGAACAAAGACCTTGCAGGATAAAGGCACCAAAATAATTTAATTCATTAGTCTGTTAAAAAAAATGTTTTTATATATTCACATCTTCTTGAAAAACTAAATCAAGTTCTTGTAAACAGCATCTGGAGAGTACATTGTTGGCCAATGTATAATTTCATATATTTTCTGAATGCTAGCCGAAATGCAGTAGGAAATTGTTCTGGCAGTAGTCCTCCTTTTCAGAAAGCTTAATGAAATTCAGTTTAGTATTGTTTTGTGTAATCTTGGTTACGGACAGCCTGGCAGCCAGCACCTGCCTACGCGATCCTTTCTGCATCAACAAAAGAACCTTTTTAACATTTGTAAATTGTTCTGAAACACTTCAACACTTCTTGTATTCCTGTATTGTAAGCACCCTAAGAGTTTTGTTTCAATAAGATTATCAATAGTTGTGTATCTAAGTTGGATCAGCTGAATCCTCAGTATCACTCATCAATTTCAGCTTCTAACTCTTCTATTCGTCGATCATTCAATTTAAATGTGTTTGTATTTGTTTGACTAAATAAGTAAATCATAAAGATAATGTCTAAGGGTCTTTTTAAAAGATTTACAAATAATTGTATATATTAATAACCATAACGTTTTGATCATATCTATATTCACTGAAAAATGTTTCTTATTAAGTCAACTGTCATCTGTCTGCCCCATCTTGTCTTTGTCTAATGTACAGGACAATAAGGTGATATTTGTTTTTCAAGGAGTTGTTCTCCCTCTTCTCCTCTGATTTTGTTTTTTCGCAAATGACTGTCTGGGTTTTTGGTGCTTCTGTATGAAGTGAAAAGAGAAAATGAATGCATGCTGCCTGTTTGCCTGCATGTGCATGCTAGACTTGGATCTGTCTTTGGTTATTCAGCTCTTTTTTTAGTCGTATGCTGCGAGACTGCACAGTCATTGTTTTCCTTTATGCAAATTGAATATAAATAAATTCTTCCTAATTCAGCATTTTACTGATCCCTTTTCAAAAAAGTCTGAATATTAACAAAAGATAAAAAGACTGTCACCTTCTTTTCTTTTTGAGACCAAACTTGTCAGTAGTTATGTATCATAGTCATATACCTTTACGACATCATAAGTATAGTGATAATTGTGCAGCCCTTGTAAATTATTTGTGCATTTTAAAATCTACATTTCAGACTCTTAAAGCTTGAAATTTGGATTTCACATATTATTCCTGTTCTTATACCTTTCATGATTCTATCTTTATAAAGTGGTGCTGGTGGAGGTATTTTTTTCTTCCTTTTTCTTTGTTTGTCAAATAGTATTCATTTGTTCCAGAGTCTAACTTTTGGCTTTTAGTTTTGGGAAAGCTTTTGGGTTCGGTTCTGGGTCAGATTTGTTCATTGCCTCAGAGCAGGTAGCTCCACATAGAGTTCATAACTCTCTTGTGTTTTATGCAGCATCTGAAGCTGGGTGCTTTAAAGGACCCTCTTCTGGATGACCAGGGAGACTTCAACCGGATGTGTGTGGCCATGAAGAAGATTGGCTTGAATGACACAGAGAAGCTGGACCTCTTCAGGGTTGTCGCTGGTGTCCTGCATCTGGGGAACATTGACTTTGAGGAAACAGGGAGCTCTTCAGGTGAGAAAGAGAATGTTTTAAAAAAAGTAATGTTTATGATGATCTAAAGATTACCAAAAGGGGGCATTAAGCATGTTTCATTGAAAACTGCTTTGTGCTGCTAAGAGTTTATGTCTTTTCACATTTGCTTTATTATACTGCTTTCAGTTATACACATGAAAACCATCAAGATCAGACTTTTTTTTTGAATACGTGTATATACGTGTATATAGATAGACTTTGTATATGACCTGTCCAGGGTGCACCCTGCCCATCGCCCTGTGACTGTTTGGATAGGCGATCCTGAATTGGATTAAGTGGGTACAGTAAATTGATGGATGCGTGAACAATGTATTTTCCTAAAGAAAAAAAGTTTATATCAGTTTCCTACATGGGTGTCAGTAGATTTGTTACTGAATGTGATATTTTAAAAACAGACCCATGTCCTTGAACATCACCAATGTTTGGTCTAAAGGGGTGATTAAAAAAAGGTTATCCTGGCAGCCACATGCTCTTGTTGCTTTTATTCTGTATCTTATTTTATTTTGTCTGTGAACAAGGTCTCTGTGGAGGCAGTCATTTATCTATCCATTTAAAGTTGAATTGCTTTAGTGGAACCACTCATGTCACCTCCAAGACAGTTTGATAAACACAGTCTGTTGCTAAACCTCTCAGTCAAATAAGCCTCTTATAAGGCAGCTTTTTGGTGCTGCTACTTACCACTGTTCACTTAATTTTGGTTTAATAGACAAGTCTGTCCATGCTCAGCCGTTAGCCTCAAAAACAGCTCCTCATGGTAATATGCTTTAAATTCTCAATGCAATTGGCAGAAAGAGTGTTTATAGAAACAGTCTTCAGTATGTTCTGAACCCCACATTTTTTTTTTTTTACATTTTTTTATAGGTGGATGCATCCTAAAGAATCAGTCAGACAACACTTTAGAGTGCTGTGCGGACTTGTTGGGCCTGGACAAAGATGACCTGCGAGTCAGCCTCACAACAAGAATCATGCTCACAACAGCAGGTGGCGCCAAAGGCACAGTTATCAAGTAAGGTGAACTGTAATGAGCCATAAACACTGTACATTCGCTTATAAAACAATAGCCTCATTTTTTTTAAGCCAAAGTCTTTTTTTTTCCCTGAAAGAAACTTCAATACTCTTTTTAAAAGGCCGAAGAGAGATGTTAAAATTTTAAATGATCTAAATGATCGGAGACAAATTGCCAAAGATTGACAAAGTAGAATTTGATTACACAGATCTTATTGGCAGCCACTGTTCTGAACAGTGGATGAAGTCATTCCCAGCTAGACTTTACTTCTACATGATTTCAAACAGGGAAAAAGAAAGAGCATGTGCAAAATTATAGATGAAGAAACAAGAAGAAATGGTATTGACACTGCTCCTGTCTTCTTTGGTGGTGTTGTAATATTTGAGTGATGGGGCCAGGTTTGATAGATTAATATTTCAGAAGGACCAGATGCTGGGCTGGCCTGAAAGTGTTTTCTCCACATGAATAATGCAGTCTGTATCCGAGAAGCCAGGGGAGCATGGCTGCAGTACAGTGAAGCCCCAGTGTCTGGGGAGCAGGTGGGGTGAAGCGGGACAGTCTTTGTTACTATGCTCCAGACAAATCCACCCTACCCCGGGGAGGTTGGGGGTGGTGGCAAATGAAGTAGTTTAACTCATGTCCATAAGAGACATTGCAGACATTGCAAGAGACAAGAGTGAAATTAGACTCATGATCATCATGAATACATTGCTGTTTGTTATAGACTGGTTTTTCTTGAGAGCTGAAAGGGCTGAATATATCATATCTATTTGAAAGTAGTGGAACAAGCCACAGTAATGCCATAGAGTTCCTTGAATTTCAAATTCAACCCCCTCCCAACTGGGACGGCTGAGTTGAACTCTTGGCCACTGTGGAGCTGCACTTTGTCACATCAACCAACCTCTCTGAGTAATTTCAATATGAATAATAAGCACAAGGCTCTCCGCATGCCCTGAGAAACGCTTGTAGGGTTCAGGGATTATATGTTTGAATGCCCTCTCTGTGACTAAAAAAATTAACAAAATAAACTTCAGCCAGTATGAAAAGAAATGTTGAAAAGGACAGGGTAAGATGTTTACTCATACCTTGCAGATGGGGTTTGCAGAAAAAAAAAGATGAATTTTATTTTTATTAATGGAGGTGATTCTGTCCCCTTTTGCTCTTTCTCTCACTGCCCCACTTTGTGTGTCCCCACAGGGTGCCTCTGAAGGTGGAGCAAGCAAACAATGCCCGCGACGCCCTGGCCAAAGCGGTTTACAGCCGCCTCTTTGACCATGTGGTGAAACGAGTAAACCAGTGTTTCCCCTTCGAGACCTCCTCCCATTTCATCGGCGTGTTAGACATAGCTGGGTTTGGTAATGAACATTTAAATAAAGCTTACACAACTTGTAGATTCAGCTGAACAGATGATTACATAGCAATAAGCAATTCCTGTTATTTATCTTATTTACTGCATTTTGTTCCCACCTAGATGGGAATTTCTAATTTCTATCTTTGGAATTAAGTCTCTTGAAGACACATTTGTTTATATGGAATGTCTAATACATATATACACTCAATTACCAGTGCTCTTCCTTGAGAGATAATTTCCCCTCTTCCATGATTAACACAGGCTTTGCTATTTTTTTTTCATTTTGGGAATTAATTGAAACATGAAATGTTTTTCTGCTCCTTCTATTTTTCCTCAGAGTATTTTGAGCATAACAGCTTTGAGCAGTTCTGCATTAATTACTGCAATGAGAAACTACAGCAGTTCTTCAACGAGCGCATTCTTAAAGAGGTGGGTGAGCAGCTTTTGAGTTAAAGTGATTTAATGTGGTTTACTTCTTCATACTGGGAAACTTGCCACATCCCCTCACCGAGCCAAACTGTCTTACTCCAGGAAGTTGGGACTTGGCATATGAAGCTTCTTTGTCTTACCCTCTTTGTTTTCTTTCTTATATTTTTTTCTCCATCGCTCCTGTGTGTTCCCTCATTAGAATGGTAATTTCTCAAGGGAAATGATGAGGCATGTTTCTCTCCTGTGATGTCTTAATGTTATTATTTTCCAAGGTCTACAATTAACGTGCCACATTTATGGTCTTAGCCTGGTTATTATTTGAATCACACTCTGTCAATTTAATGTTTCGATGTTCGTTTTATTTTTTTGTAAGTGTGGAGAATATTTAGGATCTGTTAGAAAAAGAAAGCCAACTTTTGTATCAGGAAATATTATTTCAGGATTGTTTTTAAAATATAATTCAATTCATACAGGAACAAGAACTCTATCAAAAGGAAGGGCTGGGAGTGAATGAGGTGCATTATGTTGATAACCAGGACTGCATAGGTAAGGCTCTGTGTCAGTTTTCACTGCCTCCTTCTCTCTGAAAATTATTATTCAAATAAAGATTACATTAGACTTCCTAAGCAAAAAGGTGCAGAAATGTGTTCAAATTTCCCCCTGATGCCGTTAAAATGGCTGATTTAAAGTAGTTTTAGTTACCAAGAATAAAAGTTAAGCGTCGTTAAGTCTTGGATGGTCCTTGTAAAGTCCATAAGCTGACACCTGTGGGTTGCTGTAAGCATCAAGCCTCGAGAGCTTTTGCTTCAGAAAAGCCACAGATACTGACAGAGATTTGGGCATCTGGAGAGCTATCACACCCCTGATTATCCCCCCAGATTTTAGGGTGCAAGCGTATTATCATCTCACTTACATTGTAGTTATGTGGTTCTTCCTCTGGAACCCACGTCAAAGCAGTGAAAATACACTTGTTGTGTAGACAGTGATATAAACCTTTTATTCTCAAACCGCTTACTTCCGTGTGTCAGAGGAGAGTAAGTGAATTGAGTGTCTGTGGGTTTTGTGGCCTCCTTTGTGCCACGAGAAGCTGGAGAAATTATGCCCTCTTGTTTTGGTTACGTCTCCTCTCGAATGAATCCTGGAATTAATAAGATGAAGTAGTCAATGTACCAAGGTGAAGCAGTTTGATTTGTATTTCAAAGGTTGGGATTATTCAGGTGTGAGGCTGACTGACAGCAGTGAATAACATTCATGACTTGCAAATGACCGTTTGGTTGGCCATTAATTCTCTCATCCATCATCAGGATTTATGCACAGGTGCTTGTTCATGTAAATTTTCTCTAAGGTCCTTGGCCATCACATTATTTTCTAAACAGTGTGGTATGAATAATTCAGATTTATGGCTAAATGGGCATCCTGATAAACATGTTTTATACTCTGAATATTCATATCCTGAAACAGTTAACAGGATAAATTTCCAACAGAAAAAAAAATCCTACATTTTATTGTTATGCTTTAAGTTTTTGAGAAAAGGCCACTCTACACTGTTCAGTATAGATTAATGCTGAAAGTTTAAGTGTATGTTGTTTCTTAAAATCCAGCATTTTCATCTTCATCTTGAGCTTCTACTGAAAATGTTAGTTTGAATGTTTAAGGCAAAAAGTTTCAGCTGATGTTTTATGTTTCAGGATCTAACCCAAAAAAGTCTTAGCTGTTCTGAAAACTATGTAAATGTAATTTAATTTGAATGATAAAACATGAACTATTTCAACTTTTAACATTGTTTTTATTTAAAATGTTGCCCAAATCCTGATAAAGTTAAATAGGAAACTTGCAGCACATTTTTACTTTAAGCAATGTCTTTAGAACCAGGGAAACCAAAATGGAGGTATTTGGTCATAATGCACAGCACCACATTGAAGAGGACCCACACGCACATATCACACTATCAGTTGAGCACAGCAGTAAAGTGACGGTAAATGGGTCCTGTTTTGCAGCCTTAAGACAGGAACAGCTTGTATCTCACACTCCTCTTTAAACAAAGTATTGTTGAGTCACAACTGAATTATCCATCAGTTCAAGTTTTAATTAAATCTGATTGAAATAGAAAAGTGGGCCTTAAAGGAGCATTGCATAGATAGATATCTTAAAACTGAAATCAACACTAATCGTTAAATATAGAGTATTCAGAAATTCCTCCACAATGGAGAGACTGACAGCATCACATAAAAAATAGTGTTTTCAAATCACTGCAATTATTGTTAAGCTTTTAACACAACAAGAGATATATCATGTGTTCATGTGTATCAGACTTTGTACTTATCTGATTTTATTGTCCTAACAAGCACTGGCATTATTTTTCATTAGATGCTCGAACAAAAAACGAACACATTTTTCTACTTCACTTGAGTGAAGTATTGCTGTAATGGATGATTCAATGAACAATGTAGTTAGAGTTTTATTATGAATCACAACAAAGGCTTAATTTGTAAAGACAGATTTTGCCATTTCCAGATCTTGTGGAAGCAAAGCTGGTGGGAATCCTTGACATTCTGGATGAAGAGAATCGTCTCCCTCAGCCCAGCGACCAACACTTTGCACAGGCTGTTCACAACAAACATAAAGACCATTTCAGACTGACGGTACTGTCCGCTTTCGCATTGCAAGTTATCCTGTCTGACAGGGAAGTTTCTGCGGCCCATTGCTTTTGTCATTTTGATCAGTTTGTCTTTTGTGTTTGTTCTGGCAGCTTTGTGAGTGGTGCACGGTCTCAGTCCCTCTCGCTGTCCCTGCCACTGCTGCTTTTGTTTGGCATTCTGCCTGCATGTCTGCAAGCATGAAATCCTTTTTGTAGACACAGCCTTGACAATAATTTAGGCCTAAGATCATAGTTGGCTGGCTGGAGCCAATCTGCGCTCTGTAAATTGAAAGAAATAAGAAATATGTTTAAAATGCCTGAATAGGCTGTAAGCATTTCTGCCTCAAAGTTTTATTACTTTTTTGAAGGGGCATTAGTCATGGTTGCTCTCACTGATTAAACTAATGGAGCCTAAACCTTTTTATGTTTAATGCTTTATTATGATTACTTTTGGTGTCCTTTCATAACCCCTGAAGATCATAAAAGAAATATGTAATTTAGAAATATATCAACCAAGGAAGTAATGAACATGTATTATCGATGATTGTACCTGCAGACATTACAGGCTTATCCTTTTTTTATGATGAGATCTTAAAATATTGAGCCAAAATTCTGCTCACCTCACATTGATATTCACTGATCTGAACAAACAATAATGTAATTAATTAGATTCAATTGAAGTGAATAGTCTATGTGTTTCTGAACTTGAATTCACTTGTTCTCTTTTCCATTTAGGTTCCCAGGAAGTCAAAGCTAACCGTTCACAGGAACCTTCGGGATGATGAGGGCTTCATGATCAGGCACTTTGCAGGAGCTGTTTGCTATGAAACGGTGATTCTGAACACAGATAGGGTTTAGAATATGTGAAAAAGTATATATTTAAAAATATTTGTATGTATTATTAGCTTTTTATTTATTAATAGAAAATAATTTGCAAAAAGCTTATTGGTTATTATTTCAATTGTGTGAAATATATTTTCAGCCACTGCAGCCATAATAATGTAAATTATGCATGTGTGTATTGACAGACACGGTTTGTGGAGAAGAACAATGATGCCCTCCACATGTCTTTGGAGAGTTTAGTGAGTGAGTCAAAAGATAAATTTGTTCGTGAGCTGTTTGAGAACTCCAGCACTTCCAAGGACTCCAAACAAAAGGCGGGCAAGCTCAGCTTCATCAGTGTTGGCAACAAATTCAAGGTCAGACTGGCTGGTCAAGCTCTTTATGTTTGATTATGTTTATACAACTGCACCTGTATAAAAAAATCACTTCATATGAACATTCAAATTTCACCATATTTCGATAAACTCTGATTGTAATGCTAGAGATAGCAAAGTCATATAGATTAATGTATTTGTTGTTTTATTCATAACAGTATATTCTGTCCAGGAGTTTATGCATTGAAATTGATTTGCTCTATGATCTTTCTTAGCTTCTTTACAGACTTTTTCCAAATAGTAAACTAACTGTAATCTCCCAGATCTTTTCTCAAACTTTTCTCCTTTCCCTCTCCTTCACGTCTGCCTTTGCCCTGCTTATTCTGGGCTCTCCTCTTAGATTGCCTCGTGTTTTCCAACTCTTTCTTGTGATACATCCTACCAGGATGGATAAAGCTGGATAAAATCAGCTTGAGGTATTATAGAAAGGAGGTTGAAACCAGGACAGTAGAAAAGATAAGAGAAAGAAATAAAAACTCCTAGGGTTTCTCATAGTTTTGTGTTCAATGTTAAATGTTAAATTTTACATATGAACAAGGCACACAACTATCTATTAACCATCTCCACTTTTCCTGCAAACAGTTTGTTCACATTTAATCATATTTAATCATTTTTTGTGTTTACCATTTTGGAATTATTATTTTAGTTTCAGTATTTATTATCAGAGTTTCAGCTTTTGCTTGACTTTTGCATGAACATGTTACACTTGATACATCCAGGACATTCAGCATACCTCATTTAAACAGCTGATCTTGGCTGCTTTGCTCCAAACAAACTATTTAACAGTTCCCCTCTTCTGCTTGTAAAAACAGACCCAACTGAACCTGCTGCTCGAGAAGCTTCGCAGCACTGTGAGTAAAATTAGTTTTAAAATGTTTTCATGGCATAACTGGGTTTAAGCACCAATTGAAAGTCAGTGTTGTGTTTGTCATTATTCCTCGTATATTTGCTCCATCTATATGCTAATCATTAAGATGGTTTGGATGAAGCGAGATAAAAGATGCTGAATTGGATATTTTCTGAGCGATGTTTGTGTGCATAGGGCTCAAGTTTCATCCGCTGTGTAAAACCCAACCTGAAGATGATCAGTCATCAGTTTGAGGGGGCACTAATTCTCTCACAGCTACAGTGCTCAGGTAAGAACAAAACAATATTTAATTAACATTTTAAGCTTCTTATCATTGCAATTTTTTAAACTTAGGAAGAAAAAATATTCAGTTCAAATGATCAGCATTAAACTTAAAAAGCATGAATAATTGCGACCCCATTAGCAGTCCAAGCTCTCATTGAATGTAAAATATATAATTGTGTATTCATTTAAATGTATTATCATGTGTTTGCCTTTATTAGGAATGGTGTCAGTGTTGGATCTGATGCAGGGTGGATTTCCCTCCAGGGCCCCCTTCCATGAGCTCTACAACATGTATAAGGCATACATGCCAGATAAACTTACACGACTAAACCCAAGACTGTTCTGCAAGGTTGGCTTACAAATGATAAATTGTACTGTATTGTATTCTTCTTTACTGGAGAAATCCAGCATGTAGTGCAGGGTCTAGCTAAAAAGTTTAGTACTTTTAAGATAAGCTGAAATAAGCTAGCACCCCCTAATAGCAATAGACAAAGGATAGCATGGATAAAGGATAGATGGTTATTTTAAGATACATCCTTATCATTTTTGTAAATATTTTAATACTAAAGCAAAAAGCTACGAATAACAAAATTAATACTGACCAAACATTTTGAACATCTTTCATATACAGTATTGTTTTAAAACCTTGTTCTTGGCAGGCTTTGTTCAAAGCCTTGGGTTTAAACGATAAAGACTTCAAGTTTGGACTGACAAGAGTGTTTTTTCGCCCGGGAAAGGTAAAGGTTTTTAGTTTTAAATCATAATTTTCAACCATAACAGCCTCAATGGCAATGGTTATTGTTTAAATGGTGTCTGTGTGGACCAGTTTGCTGAGTTTGACCAGATCATGAAGTCTGATCCGGATCATCTCGCAGAGCTGCTGAAAAAAGTCAACAAGTGGTTGCTGTGCAGCCACTGGAAGAAGGTCCAGTGGTGCTGCCTGTCAGTCATCAAGCGTAAGTTAAACACACTCTAACAACAGAATGTGCTAAATGTGGCACGAGCAAAATTCAAACACACAGAAATGAGTGTTCATGTTACTCATTTACTGTGTTAAATATCTCTTACTGTCCTTTTTTAGTTTGCATTAATTTACTTTTTGGGAGTATTCAGACAGTGGGAATATAAAAAATCCATCATATCTATGTCTATTATAAACTAAACCTGTAGGAGCTATGAAGGTAAAGTTCCTTTAGGTTGTAGCCTTCGTGTCTGTCATGTGTCTGGTATAGCACCGGGCCTGAGGCAATCATGTCACACATATATATCACACTTTTCATTTCTTGTGGAATTCTGAAAGAAGCAGCCTCCAGCTTTAATGAACTGCACTCCAGAATCACTTTGTTATTACATTCACTGCCAAACTATCGATATGTACCATTTAACAAAGTGCAAGTTGGCCCTGGCATATTTGCCTGAACGCCTCAAATGAAATTACATTACAGCAGTAATGGAGCACTGCCTCTGGCCCTGGTCATTTATTCTTTCCTCTTATTTCACAACACTTCATCTTACAGTGACTTTTTCATTTTGTATGAACATTTTTGAGTGTTATACTCCATCTAAATGTGAAGGTTTGTGTGCTCTTAATAATAAAAGAATATGATCTTGTAATGGTACATTTTCTGCCTTTCTGCCTGACAACAGTCAGGAATAAAATGAGTTACAGAGCTGTGGCATGTATCAAGATTCAAAAGACTGTCCGCATGTGGTTGTGTAAGAAGAAGCACAAGCCAAGGTCAGTTTCCCCTCTGCCTAATTTTTATTGTATTCTATGTACTTGTCTGTGTGCTATTTATTTGAAAAGATTCACACTTGGCTGGGTTTGATGGCTTCCCCATGTCACACTTTTATGGGTTTAGATCAATATATAATGTTATCTGTGCTCTGTATCTGTACTGCTTTGGAAAATATTGCATGTCAATTTTAGGACTTTTTTAGGAAAGCAATTGGTAAAGTATATGATAGAGAGGGTTAACCAGAGTGCAGAGTTGTTTTCTTCAAGCAATGATGACATATTTTATGTTAGGACTAAAAAGAGACATCATTCTTCTTCTGTAACGAAGAAAGAATTATGTCTACAAAGTGAGTAAAATGGCAACAGGAAGTGCTTCTTAAATGTCACAATGACACAGAATATGGTCAATATGCAATTTAATATCAGAGGAAACAGGGCATGGCTTGACAAATACAGAATGATAGAATGTGACTTCCCTGTTCACCTCATAAATGAGTAACATCATGAATATACTCAACTGGAAAGATGAAAATGACCTGAAATCAAATGACACATGCAATTCTACCACAACTGACAAAAATCTGTAACCTCCTGGAAAATCGTTCTGATTAAAAAAGAATGGAGTTTGTTGTACTTCTTTAGCATCTATCTAACATCAGTTTTGACAACTAAATATCGATTGTTTAGAGCTTGGGTTTTTTAAAAACAAATACTAACTAAACTCAGACCAGGAGGTGCTCTAAAGCAGCCGATATAAAACCAAGACTAAAGTCACTAAAATACATCTATTAAAAAACATAGAATAACAAATATACCATGATAATAGTTGCAATAATAAACACTCTTTCATCCACACATCACTCAGCTTTTTACATGCTCTGACTGATGGGAAATTATGTTATTTTATTGAGGTCATGTTGATTATAGGACAGACTACCATTACAACTGTACTGATGTTTTTTTTTCTTCCTTCAACAGAATTGATGGTATGGTGAAAGTCAGAAGCCTTAAGAAACACATGGACCGATTTAACGAGGTGGTCAACCGGCTCAAGGAGGGCAAACAAGAAATGGCCAAACAGGTTCAGGACCTGGCAGCTGCCATAGACGCTCTGTTAGCAAAGATAAAGGTGACATTGTTTTTCATTCTTTTGTAAGCCCCAATAAAAATTCAGCTAAGCTCTTAATAAAAAAATTTTTACAGTCATGACAGACATAGCTTCGTGGTACATTTAACTTTTTTTTTTCTTTCCAGTGCATTTATTGCAGGATTGTAGCTTTATGCATATTGCTCTCATGTGTGTCTGGTCAGCTGTGGACTCACTGCCAAATCAGTCTTTGTTTGACCCTGATGGAAAACTGTTTATGTTTAGATTGGACCACTTTTTCTCTCCAGTTCCCACCAAATATCTGTCCCATTTCTGACAGTCAAGTCAGGACCAACTAATTCAAAACAGTGTATTAGCATCCTGTGTGTTTTTATCCTAAATGAATACCGAGTGGGATTCTTGTTTGAAGAAATCCTCCCTCTTGAACCCCCCTGGGGCTAAATATTTAAAAGTTGGAAATGCATTCATCTTTCTTTCCTTTGCAACTATAAACCAGAATTTTATATTCTTTGACCATCAGTCCACATTGATGACCTGGAAGGAGATTGACACTGAGTACCAGGGACTGGTGAAACGCTCAGAGCTGCTGCTGTCCTCCATGCAAAAGAAGAAGCGGGAGGAAGAAGAGAGTGAGAGACTCAGACACATTGAGGAGGAGATGGACAAGGAGAGGAAGATGAGGGAGAAGGAAGAGCAACGACGCAAACAGGAGGAAGAAGAGAGGAGACTGTAAGAGAAATTCAGTAAAATGTCACCAAGAGACATCATGTAAATACAATGTATCAATGTAAAGTATCCAGTACTCTATTCACTCTTCCTTCGATTGTCTTATGATTTTAGCAAAGCAGAAATGGAGGTGAAAAGAAAGCAGGAAGAGGAGGACAGAAAAAAGAGGAAGGAGGAAGAAAAGGTCATTCAGGTTAGAGCCCTTACATTGTGATATTCTGATATTAACCGCACTCTAATTAACCCTCTGATGAAAACCTGTGAAGCCCATTAAATATGTACTTGTGGGACAATGACTGACAATTTTCTCACCTTTGTGCTAATTTAAGAAGTTGGAAGAATTAAGTTAAGATTCTGAAGATTTGCTTTTCAGCACAAGTTGGTTTGCTCCTTCTAGATGAGGCTGGGAGAAATCAGACTCTTGAAAAATGGTCTTGCTGTCTTTTTGCCTGTTTGCCTGTGACATTCTTCTTGATCTGTGTGTCAGTTTCTCGTTTGACTAGTCAGCGGCTGTGTACAGTGTTTGTAGTAGTGCAGTGTTTTTTTTTTACCTTGTTAGAAAATATTAGATATAGACAATTTTAGCTATTTGTTGAGGTCAGTCTTATGAAACTAATCATTGAGTGTTTGTCTGTCCTGTGCCCTGCCATGTCTAGACAAGAGACCAGTAAAGCTTTATTAGTAGCTCAACAAACTGGGTAAATAGCCATAATCGGGCTTATACGCACTGCTCCAGTTGTTATGAACTGTCTGGCACACAAAGCAGCATTTGTAAATTCGACAAGAATTTGGCTTTTTTACACTCTCACTATAAATGGTAAAGTGTGATGTTGGGGCATGTGTGTTCACAGGCAGACCTGGAAATTCAGTTGGCTCTGGAGCGTGAGGAGCAGGCCCAGCGGGCTACCATAGTGGAGCAGGAGAGAAGAGACAGGGAGCTAGCCATGCGAATTGCTCAGAATGAGGCGGAGCTCATCTCAGAGGAAGGCATGGCAGATGCAGGCCTGCGCAGGTACTCCATATGCAAACTCCAGGCATGGTGCTGCTTGCTCCCTATTCCACTAAACGTGTGCCACCTCCAGTAAATGCATTGTGCTGGCTCGGGCTGATATCAGCATCCATATATAACTGGCTTTGTCCTGTTGTTGTGTTTTCTCCAGTGATGACTCTTTTTCAGATCTTCCTATCTCTTCATCCTCAGCCAGAGACATGTAAGATATCAGTACCAAGTAAACCCAACACCAGCCTTAGTCACTCACTTACACCCCCCCCGCTCGGATCCCTGTGGTAGCCGAATGTCTAGTAGCTTGAAAATAGAATCACTATACTAACAACCAAATCCAACATTAAAATAGATTATTTTTACTTTCAACAAGTCTCTAAACCTAATCCTTTTTAAACTTCTGAATGTATTTTTTTCCATATTTTGTTGTCTTGATACATGATCATTGGAAGTCCCTAATGTGTAATATTCCCCTATACCAGAGTAATAATCAGAAATTAATGTACATTTAAACGTTAAACGTCTCGTTTAACAAGTGAGGATTCCTTCTCCCACTGTTCCCTTTCCTGTTTGCCGGCTTGATCATTGCACAGTGATGTTTGAACTCTATACAGGTTTTTCTAAAACCACATTATACAAGAAAATTGCATGTGATACCTTTGATATTTTCTCAAAGTCCAAGCTGAGCTGATATTAAAGTGCAGCACTGAAATGCTGCATATTACCTATTGTTCAGAGAGAAGCTTCATCTTTGTGTGAAGCAACTTCCGCAGTGCTGAAGGTCGGCACACACCAGCCCAATTCTTTGTTCTCCAAGAGAGCAAAGAAGTGCAAATCTGTGCACACAGTTTGAAAATGGGAGTATTTTGGCCATAAAACATAAGATGTGGACACCACTCTGTTAGCAGGAGGCATGTGTGCATGTATATGAATAATGAATCCATGAGTGTATGTTTTCATACCAAAATTACAGATTCATACATGCTTCTCTTCAGGTGACCGGAGGTGAGCTCTGCTGCACACAGTTTTATGCTTACCTTTTAAAAATATGACAAACGCTTCTGTACTCAGAGCCTATTACACACTCAGCATGGTGCACATACAAGGCTATACACACATACAAACATGTTGTGTAACTTGATTTCAACACAACTTCACACTGAGAAAAGAGACATTTTGTCAGTCTTGTCTCAAAAGAAAGCCCAGTAGAGCTGAGTTAGGTATAGTTTACCATCTAAAAACAGCATTAAATGCCTAAGGATTAAACAATGTAACGAAAATTCCACACCGGCTATAACACACAAAAATCATTCCTTATTCAGTCATTTGCCATTTCTTACATGTCACTGCTTGCTTTATCACATACCTTAATGTGTTCTGGGGGGTGTACACCCCTCAGTTTGAGAAGTACTTGAAATGGATTTAGGAGACTTTTGTTACAGACAGTATTTATTACTGTTATGTTTTTATCTGAAAAAGTAACAAAAAGAATGGCTAGTAAGCTTTAACTTCCATTTGTAGCCATGGCAAGAGTATCATCTACAGCTCTTCTATGCAGGTACTTCACACAAAATAAGAGATGAATAATGTCTGTTTTTCTGTCAGTTTTGTCTCCAGGGTCCTCATTCAAAGTGTATTGAACAAGCAAAATCTTAACAACCAACGAACTTCTGAAAGGGGAAAAAAAAAAGTATTTTCTGTCTGTTCTCAGCAAAGAGATTAAAGCATGTATGAGCTTTCATGAAATACAAACACGTACTATCCAGCATGGCTGACATTGTACATCCCAAATGCTCTCTGCCCTCCCTCAGGCCAGCTATTTTTACTCAGTTTACCTTCTGCCAAATTCAAAAGGGGCCAATGCTTCTGCTTCCCTGTCTGCAACAAACATAAAGCTTCTTTTCTGATTTGTCATTATTACACACCGGTGCATTTTACAGCCAGAATGACAATGATCCCTAAATCAGTGTAATCTTCCTTGTCATTAAGAATTCTAAATGGTAATCCCATGATTCATAGATCAGCCGCTCTCTCTCTCCGGAGACACTATTCTGACTGTAATTAGAAACGGCAAATCCTTTATTCCTATTAGGGAATTAACAGCTTAAACTGCAGGGAAGCTGAAGACAAGGCTTGCAGTAGTCTGTTAAGTAAATGAAACCTAATTGATATATATATATATACAATACACAGATACATAATCACTGCCTGATTGCCTGTTTTTCATAATGAAGAAAAGACTCTTCTATCGAATAGATTAAGAGTTTCCAAAATCTTTTCTGTACATTCATGTTCTTTTTCTCTCTTACTCTCATTCATCTTCCTGCTTCAGGGGTCCTCAAGTGCAGGCTACGAAAGCTGCTGCTGGTGTGAAAAAGTATGATCTAAGCAAGTGGAAGTATGCTGAGCTGCGAGATGTCATCAACACCTCCTGTGGTGAGAAACCTGAATCCAGAATCAGCATGAGATTGCTTTTTCTGTGCTCTGAACATTCCATTTCAATCAGATTTCATCAGAACAGAAGTTTTTCCCATCTTTCAATAAGAATGATACAACGCAGATCTTGTTTTGGGACAAAAAACCAGAATGCTCTTTCTCTGTGCAGGATTTACATTTGTGCAGTATGCAAACATGACAGTAAACAAGAGATGTGGTTCCTGAAAATCGAAGGAGAGATAGAGTGTTCCACAACTGCTCTGGCTCATTGGGTTGTGTTTTAGTGAGCGAGGGAAATGATGAAAGAGTACTTCTTTCTCAGTCAGCAAAAAAAAAAGCAAATTAGCTCCTGCTGATGCCTTTACTATTGCCAGTGTACACTGTTCTCTGATCAGTGTAAGTGATTCCAAGGACATCTGGTTCATTTGTGCATTTGAAGCATTTTTGATGATAATAAGAAGTTCACTTTAGTTTTGGAAGACTTTATTTTGTGTGCGTACGTGACTTTCTCAGTTTATTTCGGAGTGTTCGTTTGATATAAAGCAGGATGTGAGGATAAGTGTGGAGCTTATCCCAGCTACCACTGGGCGAGAGGCACGGTACATTCTGGACAAGTCGGAGGCAATCACAGGGCTGACACAGAAACAAACAGCCATGAACATTCACACTCGCTCCAAGGGTCAATTTAGGATTAAGCTCAGGACACAATAATCCAACAGATAAGACAGAAAGAAGCTAAACTTGAGATGACACACATCTACAGCACAGACTGATAGAAGGAAGTACCAAAGTGAACCAGAGAGTGTTTATACAATGGAAGCTGGTGAGTAACAACACGCAGGTGTAGTAATCAGCTTGATGAAGCCAGGTGTGAAGGAAAAATCGGCAATCAAGAACTACCCAAGAAGTTTAAAAAATGACTGATAATCAGGATATGATACAAACTGACACCCTAAATTCATGTAAAGAAGCCTGACTACGGAGCACGTGCCAACCAAATGACATTGTAACACCAGAAACACAACTAAAACTCACGGACCCTCACAATCTCATATTGTATTGTTATATCTGTCTTGTGTTTAAGCTCACAAATAGATGTGGTGTGTGCATTATGTATTACCAACCCCTAAAACGTTACGAAATCTAAAGTCCTTTTATTCAGAATAGGTTTTACCCCAATCTACTCTCTTTAGATTGACAGAAATAATAAAATGAACCTCTGAACTTTGTAAGTGACTCACTCCTTGGGTGTTTGCCAAAACTGTGTTGTGTGAACAGACATTGAGCTGCTGGCAGCTTGCAGAGAGGAGTTTCACCGTCGGCTGAAGGTCTACCATAGCTGGAAGTCCAAGAACAAGAAGCGTAATGATGATGGGAGCGACCAGAGGGCTCCGAAATCCATCACTGACTATGGTTAGTAAAGGGCAATGTTTCACACGTCACCCTGATGCTAGCTCTATGTAAAGGTTGTGCTACACCAGTGGAAATGATAACATAACCCCACACCAATGCAGCACATGCACATCTGCAGCCCCACATGCACACCTCCCTGCAGGCATTTCAGGTTCCAGAAGAGGAAAGTGTTTATTCTTCTCTCCTGTTGTTTTATCCTTTTATTGCCAAAGATTAATAATCTGCAAAAATGACCTACTTTTGTTACCCAACATGAAATCTTGAATTTTAAATATGCAGCTGGCTTCTGTCAGAAATATTTGATCTAATTAGCAAGTAACTCCCAGCAATGCCTTATAACAGTAAGTAGCTGATGCAATAGCTTTAGTGTTCTTCGTTATCAGTTCCAAGTAGCAACCAACACATATTAAGAAGCACATAAATGCTTTTCTGCACATTTAATTTATTTCCTGCTTCTTCTAGTACTGGAGGATAACGGGAATGTTTTCTGTTACTTCCACATTCAAAATATTTACCCACCTTTGATCCTGATATATCTCATAAAAGCTGTACTTTGTTTTTTTTTACATTTCGGTCTCATTCTTGGCCATTTGTGATTTAGCAGAGGTCACTCTGAGGGTTTTTTGTAAGAGGCCATGTGATATTTGTTTGTGCATTTCAGACATTTGTTTTGATCTTGTGTGGTTTAGAAAGCTTTGTGCTTAGTTTTATGCACAGCTCAGACCATTTTTTTATCTTTGAAAAACCCTGGAGTTTCATGTATGTAAGGCTAAATCACAGAAGCTACTTTGAACATTAGCTGTAATTTTCCCATATTACAAGCATTTTTCTCCAATCACTCTACAGCTGAGCAGAACCCTGCCCCTCCAACAACAACCCAGCATCAGGAGGTGGCTATGAATCGGCAACAGCGTTATTTTCGCATTCCTTTTATCCGGCCTGCTGACCAATACAAGGACCCACAGAATAAAAAGAAAGGCTGGTGGTATGCCCACTTTGATGGACCCTGGATAGCCAGGCAGATGGAGCTTCATCCAGACAAACAGCCCATTGTGTTGGTTGCGGGTGAGTCAGTGATTTCATTTTTTGTCCTGTTAAAGCAAAACCTCATAAAAGGAAAATTCATCTTTGGTCCGCCTTTCATCTGATGAGCATGGGCAGTTTCATCACTTTGTCCAATATGCTGTTTTAAACGAGAAAGAAAGAAAAGAACAAATCTGACAACATAATACGCACATACATACAGTTTCTAACAAGAAAATGAATAATTCCCAATTTGCCTGAGGTAGATCCGGAAGTGATCACTGATCAAGAAAGCTCCTGGACGAGCTTAAACTGACATCTATTTCCTGAATACCATCTTGGTCATTTCACAATTTGAACTAAAGAGAATGCAGTTTTAACCTTTTTCTTTTTCACCTTTTTCTTTTACACTGTGTCCTACAAATGTTGGTGCGTTATGCCCTAAACTAAGGGAAAGCCCCAAAATAGTTCTTGAAATGTCAAAAGTTTTGATGATAATAATAATGATAATAATAACATCATTCCTTATTCTCTGTCCACCACTCAGGCAAAGATGATATGGAAATGTGTGAGCTGAGTCTGGAGGAAACGGGTCTCACCAGGAAGAGAGGGGCAGAGATCCTGCCCAGGCAGTTTGAGGAGATCTGGGAACGCTGTGATGGAATTCAGTACCTGAAGAAAGCCATAGAAAACAAGCAGGCCCGCCCCACATATGCTACTGCAATGCTGCAGAGTCTCCTCAAATGAACCAGAGAACTCTGCTCGCCCTGAAAGACAACGCTGATGCACACCAACCCATTGTTGTGGTGTCTGAAAAAGTAACCACAGGCGAGGATGCCTGCTATACAATCTTCCTGTTAGTGCTCAGTGTACAAATCACTGACACTACTTCTTTATATTTGTTTGTTTTTTTATTCTTTACATTTTGCAGTGGAATGTCTAAATGGTGTTGCGTTAGCATTTGTGTTTAGCCTTTTCCTCAGACTGTGCATGGATTAAAAATCACACTGTGAGGCCTTAATCTGCAATATGGTTGAACCACAGAAGTCTTAACTTATTCTGATTTTCTAGCTGTGTGCCTCGAACCTTATTGGTCAACAAGGACAATGAAAGAGGCAGAGATAATTCTAAAGGCGTGGAACTGTCCCTGTCATTGAATCAAATTATTATATTTAACAATTAAGATAAATAATGGTGATATGATCGGGAATTAATTTTTACACAGTCATATAATACTCATGCAAAAAACATGTCATAATAAGTAAACTATAGAGATTATTTAAACATCATGTCATTCATTATTACAAATATGATGCAAAAGCAACTGTAACAAAAGTCAAGAAAGCATTTTAAATCATTATTCCTTTGCTCTGTATTCAGTACTTTTTGTCTGTTGACAGGAAATTCTCAAAAAGGGACATTTTTTGTATTGTTGCTCATTTGTTGTGAGAGGAGAAAGTTTTCATGTTTGCAGTTTTATGGGTTTTGGGTCGTCTTACTTACAGTAATATAATGTGTGTGTGTGTGTGTTATGTGTGTTTATTCATGTCATATTTGATTAGGGTGATTACTCCTATGTACTAGAACATAATTATTTTCACTGAACTTTAACTGCTGAGTTAAGTATTCTATCTTATATTGTGTGAGGACTATTGCTCTGGAATACTGTAGAAAATAAACATAATCCCATAATGTTGTTGTTTTTTCTTTATAGGACATAATTGCTGGTAAGAATGATAACAAAAATTTTAGTGGTCAGTGTTTGACAAATGGATGTCATGCGCTTATGGTCACAATGAATAATATTAGTTTGAAAATGAATTATTGAAAAGAGACGTTGATTTAGGAGTTATTTGTTTGTTTTTTTGCTCATTGAAGTTGGCTGTTGTTTTTCATCTGAAGATACTTCTTACTGTCAGGATTATAAGATGATGAGAAGCACAGACATAATGGAGACATTCAGATGAGGAAAATAACAGAAATATTCATGTTTGGTAAATAACTGGCAAGATTTGGGAACTCAGTGAAACAATACATTCACATTAACAGTCAAAGCAGCTTGTGGCAGAGCACCAACAAAACAGGAAGGGAAAAAATGCAGAATTGTCAGAAAACAAACAAGAGAGGGGAAGAGGTCATTTCAGATGGACTACTCTTAATAGTTTTGTTTTTCACGGAATGTTGCGTACAACTGTAATAGCACCATGAGTTCAGGTCAATCACTGAGACTTAACACATTATAAGGAACCCAAACTAAGGATCACTTCATTATAAAAAAAAGCCATTTTATTTTTTTTTGTTTCGAATGTAAAATGTATAAAAAATATTGTCACGATTTTATTAGACAAATTGAAAGTTGGTGAAAGTTGTGAACAGGACGTGACGATGTAGACACAGAGAGCAACCAGTGTTTCTCTAAACTATGTGCCACGTCTACAGCTTATACAGTGGATTCTCTTTTTTGGACACAACAGTTTTAAAGAATCACGTTCAAATAGCCTAACATTCACACTCTAAAAATAGATACAGCCATGTGTATCAGTTTGTAAATAATAAATACCTCATTGTGAGGAAAGAACAACCTTTGCCAAGGGAGTACAGGAAATGTTCCTACAGTCCAAAATATACAATAAATATAAGCTTCTCACTGTTTAACAAGTGACATTCATCACTATGGTCTAATGTACCTGCATCTGCACAAGGAAACTACACATAATATGATAGCAGCATTTGTCCTTCAATCCTTATGCCCTGAACTGTGCAGGCAGTTCAGATATGAAAGGTATCTTCATAGAACTGTTACTTCAAAACAGTCGCTGTCTGACGCCCTTAAAAGACAACAGGTTCTGTATTCATTTTGCAGATGCCACGTCTGGAGGAGACAAGAAGAAGAGGTAAAAACAGCTCATTTCAGGAAGGTAAATGCAATCAATGTTACGTTGTTTGTCATCATGATCACATGCACTGCAATTTCAAGAATCATGGCGAAAAAAGAATTGATCACCACTGTTTAACTGAGAGAACGTTTGTTCATGTTGTCACGTTTCTAGCATTTGAAGGTGTTAAAGAGAAACTTAAGCTGCACAAAACTCCACAGTGATTTGCTTTGTGAGTATAAAATCATCAAGGTTCATGCTTGGAAGTTTTTACCTTTGCACACGTCATAGAGCTGAAAAATATTTATTGTCAGCGTTAATCGTAGTTGGCCACACTGTTCATAAAGAGTGAAAGCATTTTGTAATACTCTGCTTCCTTCACTGGACTATGGTTTTCCTGAGTTGTACATGTTGACTCTGAAGAGATGTAAGGTTTCACTCAGTCCTTACCTCATTGTGTGGTATGCAGTGATGAAAATCCACCATTTCTGAGACTAATTTTTCTGATCTTGTTGTGTAGAGTTGTCTGGGGATCTGGGAAGACATTGAGTTTGTTTTGTTTATTGTGTTACATTAAAATATTGATAATCCAGAAACACTCTGACAATATGTAAGGTGAGTAAAAGCAAGCGTTCATGCAAAGTCCGAAGAAGCTGCCTACTGCCAGTGTGTCACAGGTCGGTGCTGAAACAGTTCAACAGTTTTTGTGTGATTGTAAGCAGCTACCTATAACAATTAAATTGATTTTTAAGATCGATGCTATATACATAGACAAATAGATATATTGATAATGAAAGAAAACAGAGATCAAGCTTTGTTCTGATGAAAAGAGGTTAGTGATTAGTGCATAGTTTATTAAAGCATTTGCATTTTGTATAAATTAAGCGAAGAAGATTAGTCTTTCAGTTACTCTGTGCAACACAGTGTACCTCAATACTCAGACGTATATTTTCAATTGAGGCAAAATGTTCCTGCTCAGAATGTTGGGATTGGGAAGAGGCTGAGCTCGAAGGATATGGCAATGTGGATACTTGAGTTAAGACACCATCATCGTTCTCAAATACTGGGTTCTCCCTCAAAGTATTCTCAAAGGCATAGGGAGCAAAGGTATGCCTACAATGTGGAGGAGATGAGGTAATGACAAAAAAATGCTTTTAGACCAGCAGGAGATACATCGTGGTTATGTAAAGTAGGTGATAAGGCAGAGATCTCAAACCGTTATACAGTTTTCCCTGCTTCAAATCAATGCACCATTGGCAGATTTGTGAAGAAATTCAGAATTTGAAACTATCTATTCAATGTAAACCCAATGCTGGAGCAGGGAATAATATAAACTTTGCAAGATTACCAGTGTTGAAAAATCCCTGTGATAAGGTGTTCATACTTACACCAAAGTAATGGCCTTTCTGGGTTTTACACATTTCTTGTTGATGAATATCAGAATTCCAATGATGGCACAAACAAGGCAGAGACTTCCCACGAGGCAGGTTACGATCAGGGATGGATCTAACGGCACGGAAACCAGGTCACTGCAGCGTTTCCCATGGTAGTGCCAGTGCTTGCCTGAAAGGCATCTGAAACAAATGAGAAAATATTAAACCAAAGCTTCCACACTCTCGGTAGCATAGCACAAACATATGTAACTTTAATGTAATTATCATGGACTGCTTTCTTCCATAATTCCAAATATATACACTTTGACCCTGTTTTTTTGCCAATAATGGATGCTTTTTATTTCACGTTGGAGAACTAAAGAAAAAGTATGACATCCGAATGGTTGCGCATTGCTTACTAAGAGCAGTACTAATGGTATGCAATGTGCCTCAGAAAGCTTGAATGCTTCAGACATGAGGATGATGCGTCAGAATATCAAACTATAAAACAATGTCCTTTATGTATGAGTTTTCCTTTTTGCTTCAGGTGACAAACTCGGATTTTCTCGACTCCATGCAGGTTTAGTGGGCAAGGTCTCTATTAATGTTTCAAGATTTCCTTCAATTTGTCATTCCCAACATTTTGTTATTTACATCATAACTGATTATGTATCTCCTAAATATGACGCACCATGTACACATTACTTACAGTCAGATCAGTCAAGTTTTTGACCAGGCATCAAATATTTGAGAGCCAGATGCAAAATAGGAATAATTGCACTAGCATTCTTCTTTACACAACGCTGATATTTAATCAATTTATTTTCTCCTGTGTTTTGTTCATGATTGGTTCTTCATCAGTCACCTCTCCTATTTCGGATGCCTTTGAACGAACAATCAAGGATGATTCTCTTTTTATATAAATCCACATGTTTCCACCTGCATTACAGAACAAGATTTTTTTTTTAACTCAAAAAGGAAAAAACAGAACCATGTACCAATGTCAAGTTACTCCAGAATACTAACAGGAAATTGATGCATACATGGGCAGACAGGCCTAAGAGAGGATGAATGGCCTCTGTAAGGTCAAGTTGTTTGTGTTATCTGTCACTGCTCAGATTATGTGTACCTGCAGGTTACTCCATGACCTGGGATTATTTCACAAAGGCCGCCATTCATGCAGTAGTCTGGCTGCAGTGTGCAGGTGCTCTGGCAAGGCAATCCATCCACGGCGCTGTAGCCAGGATCACACAGACACTCTGCCTCATTGGTCCAACTGTTTACCACGCAGCGTGAAAACTCATTGCAGGCCAGGAACTTACAAGGGTCTGCTTGGTCAGCTGAAGATAAAATAAGGATCATCCCGAAAGAGGAAAAGAAAGGGAGGAAGAAAAGAAGTGCTCATGGATTTTGATTGATGTGAGTGCAGATATCTGCTATAAATAAAATATTGATAACTGTCAATATCTGCAGTCAATTAACATTGACTTTACTCTGTGTAGCACAAATAAACAGCAAGAAGGAATGATACTGCGGTTGTGCTCGTGAGGCATATTGACAGCAAAATCTCACCTGGTTCTATGTCCAGTGAGCGACTGTCAATCTCAATGTCCAGCCGTTTAGATGCTGCGCTGCAGAAGTCCTCAAGCACGCAGTGCACTGCTTCTGTAACGTTATAAGGAACCGGCTTGTCCAGTTTCATCCTGCTGTTTACCACAACACTCCCGTTCCTGAAGTTTAGAATCTCCAGCTGCTTAAATCCAGTCAAATTGGACTGTAAGTATGGCAAAAGCTGTGTAGAAGGACAGGAAAAGCAGATTGTTTAGTTACTCCCTCTTCATTTGAACAGTGTGTTTACTTTGTGAATTCTATCTATAATCTTTTATACAAACATGAAAAGCCTGCTATTCTGACATTAACTGCGTAATTAGATCAAGAACAAAATTAAGATTAAGTTTATAATCAATAATGTACAGAACATGCAAGTTCTATTCAGGAAAGAGACAGAGAAGAGTTAATAGAAAGGCCTTTAAGAGAGACTTATGACAATCTCCTGAGAAAGGTTTCATAAAATGTTTAGATCCTTTTTTAACTGATACTCTGAAGATGTTTACAGAAACTAGTATAAACAGCAGTGGTGCCAGGAGAGTCTATCAGCCCTTCATTTACTCTAATTTGCCATCTAATCAAATAATATGTTGTAGACAACGAATCATTCTATTAAACCTGTTACATGATCTTAAATAACTAAAGGACTCCACTTTTATGGTGGTGTCATCTCCATGTATCCTGAAAAACCTAGTAAACCATGTTTTACCATTTCACTTTTACGCTCTGCATTGATACATTTACTTGAAAACTCGAAGATGATGGTGGTATTTGGGCAGAATTCAGCAAAAGTATTGGACCTGTGTAAATGTCATCGATCTGCACTGTTCCTCTCCCAGCCTCACCGTGTACAAGACAGATGAGGCCAACGTCAAGCTACCATGTGAGTGGGAGAGATTATGACACTCCAACATTCTTGGCTGTCGAACCAAAGATAAGGCTCCTTAAGGAGCTCCGCTCTGATCGGGTTACCTCACCTATCACTGGCACACAATTTCTAAAGGGATGAGGTTTTTTGCTGATACTGTCAACCAAGGAAACCAACTTTCAGTACAAAAACGGAACAACTGGCAGCCCAACTATATATACACTTTGGTGTGGACATCCATTTGTTTCAATATGCAGTGTTATGGTTACATAAGTCCCTGATACAACTCTATCTATAACTTGACTACTTTTCACACAAGGTCAGAACCCAGCTTCCTCATAGCAAATCCCAGAACTCTCTAGGCTTAAAAAAACCTAAGAACTAAAAACACAACACAAAATTCCAATGTCCTCTATGTATACAGAAGCTTAATAAACAGCAAGTAACAAACACAACCAATATTTAATACTCTTACACAAAGTTACACATGTATCTACTGGTTCTTGTTTTTTTCTTTCAAACCAAGTCAAATACTCCCTCACCCATGTCCAAAAATGACACTATACATCATTCATGTCAAATATGATGCTATTGTATCTATTTTTTTTCTTATTTAATGTTGCAAATTAAATTCAAACTCCATATCCACTTTTAATGGTTGCTTCACAAACCAGTAGGTACAGGAGTAATTGAAGCTAATAAATACAAGGGAACTAAAAGCTACTGTGGAACAAATTATTTTATACACCTATGCTTAGTTGTATTCATATTGTGTGTTTGTGTGTCTGTTCGTATGAATATATATGTCATCTATTATTGTAGATGTATATGCATAAACAGTGAACCTATCTCAGCAAACCAAGTCATTAAATCTATTTAAATAAGCTACCTTATATGTATACCTAATTTATGGAAAGAAAATATTGAAATAGCCCATTTAATGTATGATGTGTTGATAAATCTAAATTGGTCGTCAAACAATCCACACAGTAAAGTAATGACTTACCGGTTCATCTGACATCTCTAGGTTTGCCAGGGAGCTAAATACATCATCATTAACATGAAGTGCAGCAACCAAGGTTTGGGCAACCACTAAACATTGGAGATGGAGTGTTGTTTTTAGAAAAAGTTTAGATTTTTCTGTAGTGCATTTCTCTTTATCTCTCTGTTCCCATCCCTTAACATCAGAAATTTCCTGATACAGCGCAGGACTTGATAGCACTATGCAAAAACCTATTTCAGCAAATCAAGACATAACCAGCCCATGACATGAACTGCCAAACATCAAACTTTCATATAAATTAAGATCATCTTTATTTATCCCACTATGGGTAATCCCAAATATTCACAGCGAAAGGCTAAAAAAATAGCCTTCTATATACAAATATGCACAAAGATATATAACCAGGTGTCTCATTTTAAATCCTCAGAATACATGGCTTCTAAGTGGTCTTAAGTGTAAATTTCTAAACTATGAATACCTGTCAAAGGACCTCATATTCCCTCTGTCCCTTTGCCTTGCATCAACCGCACAATCCAATTTGTATCAATGGAGCTCCTAAGTGTGAGGCCAATGACTTTGTATAACACTGAATTCAAGGCACATCTGAGCAAGCCTAAAAATACAGTGTGTCGTCTCTGTCAGCCTGTGACTAAGCCTTGAAACAAAATAAAGATGTCAAGTGAAGCCTTTTATTCTGATGTACGCTAACCAGCACAGGGATGAAGAGAGTCATCACCTGCATGACAGCAACTTATGCCAATTCAGAAGTGTTTTTACAGAAAAACAGAAAAGATGGTTCCTATAAATGCAACAAAATATGACATTTCACAAATTGGGAGCACTAAAATAACAACAACAGATGTTTAAAAATGAGGGCCTTGAGGAAATATATTTTCTATAGCAGTTATACACAGACAGTCAGTCTATATCAGATTACACATTGAGTCCTGCAACATGCATGGAGATGTCCACACAAAGTTGACTGACATCACACTAAGGAGATTGAAACCAATATTAGCACAATGTGTGTGCTGCTGGAACTGACTAGAATTATTTAAAGCTTCTTACGTCCACTGAGAAACCAGTCGCTGAGGCAAACAAGTCCCATGATTCAGACTACTCTGTGCTAGCTTGCTCTCTACCTTGCACAATGCAACAGTTTTAGCAACACCAAATGCATAAAGAAGCATGACATTCCAAATGTATTTACTAAGCCTATTAACATATTATTCTGCCCCACATTCATTCAATAAGTCGTTCAATCAGTAGGTTTATTTTTAAGGCGACATGCAAAATTCCGGCAAATGTTGTGAAGAACAAATATTCCAAAGAAGAATATTTTGTTAATAGCTAATGTGCTTTATGAATACTGCACCAGATACTGTATATCCTTCATTTGAACATTTACACAGGTAACCATACCACACATATTGATAAAGTAATGCCATACATTAGTACAAACTAAGATTATTCTGCACCAAAAGTTTTTTATTTTAAATGTAAAAAATCATGGAAAATAAACTGGCTTTAATGAGGACTTAAAGTATCCTTGGACCGACACTGAACCTCAATACTCTCCCCCTTGTAAGTCACTTAAAAAAAACACCTCTTAAATTAATGGACGTAAAATTAGATACCAGCAATGAGGTTTTTTCTGTCTTTAGCCAGATTATGTTTTTTTTTATTTTCAGTCTGTCTCTGTCACTTGTTGTTGTCCTTGTCTGTAACCCTAACAAATGCAGAACACAAAACCACTGCTGAAGCAGACCTGCAAAGACCACACAGATTTGAAACTCCAGTTCACCTGGAAAACTGCTAAATTTAGATACTTGTACGGTTGTACATGCTCTCAATGTAAGTTAGTTTGGCAAGGGCTTCAATGCAACATTTCACTTATCAAACCTGGGACCACACTTTACACCAAGCATAAAGTACAAACTGAGATTCAGCTGAATATTTGTAAAAACTTAAACCAGAAAAACCTCTGAAAAAAGCAGAAAAACAGCAACACTTTAAACAATAAGGCAACATTTACAGAGATACACGTTAAGATCAGCTTCAGAGACAAAACCAGTAGACATGAGCATCTAAAGCAGGATATACTAACCTCTAATGGGTCAATCAAAGCAAAGGTCAGAGTGTAAAAATGTTAGAAATATTAGGTGCCCTCAGAGTTTTAGATACTGCATTTGGAAAAGGTCAGTGAGGAAAGTGAGAGTCTTTAATCTCTATTGCCTCTGAGGTATTGGAGTGGTTAAAAAAAAGAATCACCAAAAGAAAAAAGAAAGATACCGGTATGGAGGCTAAAGTTGTCTGTCGCCTAGGCCCAGATTTACTAGATGCTCCAGTGTTTGGCAAGTTTTGGGACCCAGAGTGCTGTGTCTAAGTAAAACAAAACAATTTCACCAGCTTTTTTTTGTCCACCGTTCAGACATTAACCAAAATCATTAGCTTTGTGACCCAAAGGGAACATTTAAAGTCTTAGATGATTAAATAAAAATACATTATAATATTGAATATGTCTATTCATATACATCGGACACGATTGAAGTCTTATCACCTGGTTTAGCTCAGAATTATAAAAAAAAGTATGAAACTAAAGCATGGAGAAACATGATATCCAACACAAAAGCTTGTGTACCTACCAGTTCAAGAAATGTATGTTCCAGTGATTTATACTCAGGGGAGCTCTTGTTGAACAGGTCATCAGAAAACATCATGTTAGTGACCCTCAAGCTAAAGAAAACCACTAACTCTTTGCTCTTGTCCACTGCGGTCATCAGTGGTGTGTTGACTTGTCTCATGGCGGGTGCAGCTGTGGATTCATATGGATGATCATCAAACTCGGAAGCAAGCCCACTCCCACTCTCCTCTTCCAGTGGCTCAGTTAATTCCGCTTCTGTTTTGTTCCCACTCGGTCTTGTGTCGATTTGAATGTTTGAATTTTCTGCAGGCAGGTCCACTGTAGTCACTCCACTGGACCCTTCACTTGAATCGCTCCTGTCCTGAGGGGCTACGCCACTATCCACTGAGGATGGTAAAGGATCACGCTCTGATTCTGCTTCAATGCCTTGGACTGTGTCCAAAGGAGATGGAAGAGTGGAAGCTGGAGCTGCTGCCTCAGTGGCAGATATCTTTGGAACTGTTGGAGCACTCGGCTGTGGTTGGTCAAGGCTAACCCCAGTAGGAACATCTGTCAGCACTTCTTCAGGGTGAGGGCCTTGAGTTGTCACTGAAAAGTACTCGTTCTGTTTCTCTGGATGGTCCTCATCAGTCAGTTCAGGCTCTTGAAAAGCAGAACCTTACAAAAGAGTGATTTGATAATCATGAGTTGTTTTGCACATGGTACAATATATGCATCCACTCACATCTATGTGGTTGACATGTTAGCAGAGACCATGTTTATTCAGTCAAATTGGATATGGTTAGAGATGGATGTAGAGAGAATAAAAATGTCAAATTTCAGGCTACAGCTGGATGTAAATTTCTAGTAACAGGGTAAATAGGCATACATTCCCACTCATTCTGATTGAGTGAGTGTGTCCTACAATCTTATTTGTACTAAACAGTATATAGCAATTTTGGGAACTGAAAAACGTCATTTTGGCATTTTGGAAAATGGAAGATTTTTATTTTGTCTCCACTTTTTGACTCAAATTCTAAATGTTGTTTGAGGGTTAGGACAATGCATTAGGATTCGAGGCCAGATAAAAAAACAAGTCAGGGTTGGATACTCCGACTTCCTCCTACTATAAAAAAAACAAGCATATTAGGTTCATTGAAAATTCTAAATTGAACATTGGTGTGAATGTGTGTGGTTGTTTGTCTCTGTGCGACCCTGTGATGTACCGCCGACCTGTGCAGTGTGTACCCCGCCGCTCGCCCAATGTCAGCTGGAAAAGGCTCCAGCTCCCCCCACAACCATACTAGGAATAAGCAGTATAGGTAATGAATGAATGGAAATATAGATGTATTACGGGTTATTGATCTCATATGTGTATATGAGACCAAAACCTGAGTCAATAAAACCTGATTCAAAAATGATGTTCTGGTTTAACAAAGTTTGTCTGCACAGCATGAGTTTGTAATGACCTGACCATGGGCAGGTTGCTGCTTGTTAAAATGATGCATTGCCTCTGCAGGAAGCATCTCTGTGGAAAATCAAACCTCCAAGTCTGATTAAACTGTAATTTTCTTCTTCCTGACTGAAATTAGAGTTCTTCATAGATACTGTGGCTATAGTAGGACAATCAATACTATACTCTGCAATAATTTTCTCTAACAATGTCTGGATTTCGAATGCTGCTTGCAGTTCTGCACAACGAGCATAATAAATTGCACAACGTATAGCTATAATTAGTTTGGAAATCACTCAATACAAAAAATATGTAATTCTATTCTACCCTCTAAAAATGATAACTTATTATATGCAGACGTACTTTTGTAGACTCATATTTAT